ATACCGTCTCAGTTGGACATTCCGTCTTAATGGATGTTAAGTCAGGGTGGACATTCCGGCCTGGTTGGATCTTCCGTCTCGTTGGATATTCAGACTCGTTGGAAGTTCCGTCTCAGTTGGACATTCTTTCTCAATGGATATTTTGTCTCGCCTGCCACGCGACCAAGTGGATATTGTACACAGAGCGACCTACAGTATCATTCCTCTGGCTACCTGGTTTGAGCAATGCGTTTCACAATGTTTACATATTTCGAGCTGACAGATCTTTAAATTTATTAAAAGGAATGTTGGTCGTTGAGGCGGATTCTAGCAAGTTCGTTAAACTTCGCTTATTTTTCGAAATGTCTATACACCTCATGAAAAAAAAAAAACTTCGAACTTCAAACATCTGGACAAAATCTAATATTTATTTTAGCAAGATGTTTTATGTAGGTTATTGTTTTATTATTAAATTATGTATCAAAACCGAAAGAGGTTAGAGCAGTAATTAGGCATCGAGAATAATATTTGAACACATACAAGAATGGGTGTTTGGTGCACACCGGACCAGCTGTTTACACAAGAGCGCTACAGGGACGAAGCTTCGTAGAGTGCTATATAGGTTTCCGCTTTCGGCATGCGGCACCTTTCTCCACGTCTTCAAAAGAGGACAACGTGAGCAGCGAAAAACATGAAACATTTCTTCACTTTAGCGTCACTAAATGACTACTGAATGAACTGATAAAAGGGATGCTGAACCGAAATGTGGATTCCACAAAACACGGCGGTCAAAGCATGCAACGGGAAACTACAAACACCAAAACATCACTCATACAGCGATATCTCAAACAAATTAGCGTATTTTTCAAAAAAAAAAAAAAAAAAGGAGGCGCACTTGACTGATACGTTTACGTCTTGTTTCTCCGAGAAGGAGAGGGAACGGCCTCGCGTCTTCTCCGCCTCGCCGCCTTGACGGGGCGAAACGAAGAGAGGAGGAAACGAGATATTTTGACGTCACGCGCCTCGTCGGCCTCGTTCAATCTCGACCTTCTTTTTCCCAGAAATTTCACCAATCACTGTCAGACGTTACAGCCAGACGTTACACTCAGACGTTACACTTCAACGTTACAGTAAAGTGTTGTAGATATCCGTAAAAATGGATGAATAAAACATGCATGTGTTCAGAAACTGACGGCTGCTCCTTTCTGCACTAGTGCTCTCTTGAACGTGAGTTTATCTCCGAAGTCGAACATGGAGGTTGAGCGTTAGCAAACGCCACACAAAAATAATATTCCGATGCCTGTTCGCACTTTTCGTGCACCTGGAATTCGAGCAGCATGGACAGGAGAACGATTCATCGTAACTCCCCACGTGAAGGCCGAGCGTTAGCAAATGCCAGACCAAAACAATTCCGATGCTTCGCGCTTTTCGTGCATCTGAAACAACAGCGTAGCCAGGATATATTTTTTTTTTTTTTTTGGCGAGGGGGGGGGGGGGTGGGGGGGGGGGGGTTGAACTGCAGTGTTGGACAAAATACTCGATAAAAGTATTTAAGTTATGTTACTACATACCTGCTTCATAAAGTATTTAAAATACTACTCAAGTTACTTTCACTGTAAAGTATCTTGAGTAGAGTACAAATACTTAGAAATGTATTTCAGTTACTTTTGAAGATACTTCCGCATTGCGTAATTTGTATCGACGTCAGTGACAACGACAATTGTATAGTTGCGCGAATTCGGTTTGCCAGAATGGTTTATTAGCACGCAACAACACAAAACGGAAAATGAAAAAAAAAAAAAAAAAGCATCGTAAGGCTATTTTATGCAGTCCAACTATAAGGAGCAAAATATTGTCACGAATGGCAAATGATGTGGCGGCGAATAACTGAAGAAACTAAATGTTTAATTGGGCTAACTTGTGCCCAAAACAAAATAGAGATAGACTAATACGACGCAGGCGTCGATGTCGGCGAAACAGCAGGATCGAACGCTGGGGCGAGACTGACTCCGGACCGCTACTCGGAGCACCTTTTGTACCCGCGTGGGTTTCTGGAACATTCGGCGTAGAACGTTCGACGCGTAGAACATTCTAACCTCGATCAGACGACAAAGTTGTCGAACTTACGAGAATGTCAAGTTGAAAGAATGAATAAAAAAAGGATTCCGCCCTCTGGTATCGAACCCGGAGCATTCACGCAAGAGCCAAGCGCCGCCACCATTCGGCCACGCGCTCGCTCGGCAACGCACGTGGCAATATCACTGGTACATGTTACAAAACATTTCTGGGACAACAAGAGGTCGCTTTAGCTATCGGGGAGAAGATCAAAACGTGGCGCCTCAAGCGGTTAACTCTAGAACTACATGGATGGGGACAACAAATACAATGACTCAGCGCTCGGCTGACTTAACCGAACGCGGCGTCAGCGTCTGGCTGGAGTTCGTGTTCTCCGGTGTGTGTGTGTGGGGGGGGGGGGGGGGGGGGGAGGGCTGTTTTGTTTCCACTCCGGCCTCCATGAACAATGCAGCATGCACGGTGCCCAGCTCAGCACAAAAGACCAAGTGGGTCAAGCTCGCGTCCTCTGACGACAGCTTTCGGGAGAGATCCGGCACTTAACGTCACTTCCCTAATTGTTAGTATTTTTACATTACACTGTGCCCCGCGCTCTATTAAAAAGATGACATGAGCATCCCCACAAGGCCTGTGTTCGTGTGTGCAGCCCTCGTGTTGGGTATACACCGAGTTGTGGGGGCGACAAAACGGGTCAGAGCGCCTCGCCAATAGTGACATGGCTGAATATCAGGTCCTGTGGCGCACCTTAGACGCATCGTTTAGCTACAATCCATATTCCCTATATGGAGAGTTCACTATAAACGAACTTTGGATACGGATATGAGTGACTGGATAACAAAGAAAACCCACATAATAATCACGGCAGTGGTCGCACCTTCAAGTAAGTTGTGTTCAGGAAGGCACTCAACGTTGGGGGACACTTTGTTGGCATTTTGAGAGGTCATCCAGCTCGTAGTTCGTTTCTAGGTGACGGACTTACGACAAAAAGAAAAAAACAAAAGAAAAGCTCGAAGTTTTGCCGTAGCGGGGTCAAATATACAAAAAGCAAAACAAAAATGTCTTCTTTTGTTTGCGTCCACCTCTAATTTTTTGCTATTTGTTATTTTCTTGGCACTCATGTCTGCATTGTTGTCGTAGGTCGTTTACCGGTCTGCGTTGAGCTTTTGTGTGGCAATCTTTACTTCGGTAATAGCACCCCTTTTGTTTAAGGATTTTTTGGGGGAAACTCTAGGAAACAAATGGCGCCTTTGGGAAGACGAGGGGAAAACCTTCATTGTACAAACTTTGGGATAAAATATGAGTCACAGTCGGCAAAACAGCGATGTTTTCACGAGCTCAGTCAAAGTCACCGTAGCTAATCAGAGCTAGCAACAGGATTTGGTTGCTCGAAAGAATGTTCACGCTTGCTCGTGCCACGCCACTTCACACCGAAAAACTCGGAAAATGGCGGAATGTCAAAAATGTCGTATTACACCTGAGACTGCGGTGGAAGAAATCGGAAGAACTTTCAGTAGAAGGAACAGACACAGAGAACGTCTCAAACTCAGCTCAGCTGAGTTTGAGACGTTCTCTGTGTCTGTTCCTTCTACTGAAAGTTCTTCCGATTTCTTCCACCGCAGTCTCAGGTGTAATACGACATGATTAGCTACCACCAGCTCGCCTGCACTCTCACCGTCTTGTCAAAAATGTATTCGAGATAATCAGTACAAGACACTCAGAAATATAATTAGAGTATCAAATACTCTCGATCAAAAGTATTTGCAAGATACCAAGATACTTCAAAAATTATTTGAAATACAGTATCTTGAGTAGAGTGTCTGAGATGGGCACAAGTCTAGGCTGAAGCCCCATAAGCCCCTCCCCCCCCCCCCCCCCCCCCCCCCCCCCTGGCTACGCCCCTGACTTGGAGTCCGAAGGGCGTAAGCAGGAGAACGATTCATCGTAACTCCCCACGTGAAAGATCATGCACACACACAGATGTACGCAGCGCCGCCTAGGTTTCGTCAGGGTCTCAGACACAACCAGTGCGACACTAGCACACGGGAACGCCAAGACGGAAGCGTCTGCCGTCTTGCGGCGTTTCTCGTCGAGCTTCAGCGTCTGTTTTCCGCTTGGGGCGGTGCTGGGGGATCCACTAACCATGACGTCATGTGCAGGCCTTGTCCTTGGAATTGGATTGAAACGTAGTGTGCCTTGATTTGAGAATAGCGAGTTTTCGTAGATCGTTTTCGACGTCCCGCAACGGCTCTCAGCAACTTCTTCGTTGCGGAGGGCTTAGCGGAGGGAGAAACGCAGTTTACAAAAACTCCCTAGTAGCGAGTTTTCGTAGATGGTTTTCACCGTCTGCAACTTGCTACGATACCCGGACCTCTACAGTCAAGGCCATCGGTGCGCAGGCGCTGTAGCGGCTTCTTCGTAGCGGAGGGCTTAGCGGAGGGGGAAACGCAGTTTACAAAAACTCCCTAATAGGGAGTTTTCGTTGATGGTTTTCGCCGTCTGCAACTTGCTACGATACCCGGATCTCTACAGTCAAGGCCATCGGCGCGCAGGCGCTGTAGCGGCTTCTTCGTTGCGGAGTGCTGACGTGGACAGAGACCACAGGTGGGACACGAGTGTCGCGTCAGCATTCCTTTGGAACTCGTGTGCAATCAGCGAAAACACGACTTGGAGCCGAACGCTGACGCTGGTGTCGCGTCCCATCTATTCTCTACGGTGACCTTCGTTAGTGACGCAGGACAATTCCGCACTCCTCTTTTCCGGGAGGCGTTGCCCCCGTATGACGTATTTGGTTGCCTTTTAGTGTGCGCGATCACGACGTCAGCCAAAGTCGAATACTTCGAAGCTCTGTTACCGCTGTAAAGGCCATTCCTTTGTTGTTTTTGATTCAGCGCATAAATACGGAAACAACGAACGGAGATGAGTCAGATCGGTTGGTATGCATTTTCACGATGAAGGCTGTTTTAGTTTGGGCGGCTTCTATCTTGGTCACGTGCGTAGGGCAGTTCTTACTCCACCAGCACCCTTGCGAACGTGAGTCACCGAAAGTCACGTTTATACGCTTTTGTACTTGCGGGTGTTCGGGCGACATCTAATAATATATATGTATATATCTGTTTTCACGTCAAGAAAAAAAAAAAAAACAAGTTTTGAGCATTGTGCATACGCGGCGCGAAGTAGTCCTTACAAGAGTTCCTTGTCGGAGGAAGAAGCGATGCTTTTGGCGTTTGAAACGTGTACGTCTTGATAAGATAACACATATCTAATCTGAAATACACCTACATATATCGTATTCCTCGACATAAAAGGGGAAATTAGTAATCCTCCGCGAGGAGCGGACTACTTTTGCTTCGGTTGTTGAGGTGAAAACGCGTATAAATGCACGAAGCTTATGCGGAGCGCAAGTTCGTCTGCTTCTTGCACAGGGGTTGCGATGATATCAAAATGCCGAGTTCCTATTGGATGATTGAAAGAAAACAGTGGGTATAGACCTCGAGGCAACTGGCATTGGCGTCTATACCCACTAGCCTTTCAATCTAAGGCAATCAAAGCCTGGCGTTGTTCTGGAATCACCCGAACTCCTGCGCAAGAAGTATATACGCCTTGTTCTGCGCATACGATTGTTCGTTTTTGGTGCGGTTGTAGATTTAGATAACATTGCAGATGTGTAGTTCATACTACGCGACTATTGCTTGCCGTTTGACGAGATCCCGGATGATGGAATAGTGTCAGCTATATCGTCGCCTCCCGCCTAGCTTTGGTTGTGTGTACATCGAAGTGTTATCAAAGGCGATGCCAACTCAACTCTCCGACTATTGCCTGGAGCGCGTCTCCAAAGTGGCAACAAAGGACCAAATGATGGTCCCGAAGTGGCAACAAATGACGTCACAGAAGCCGGAGTGTCATGCTGTCGGATGTCGCGATCCTGGCAGTTGGTCGTACCCGAGTGTCGCTGTCGTCCCAGCGTCTCAACTCCTGGCTGCCGAACATGGACATTGAAATAGGGCAGGACCTGGCATGATGTCATGCCCAGTGACGCCAAAAAAAGACCTCAATCCCAGACACGCTCTCATTGCCCGATCGTCCAAAAGTCGTCCTGGTGATATCCCACACTGCCTGGTGATAGTTAGGGAAAGAAAATTAGCTTAGAAGGGCGGGAGGAATCTTATGTCTGTCTTTTTAGATTTTGGCTAGGTGGCGCAAGCTGCCAGCGGTTACAAAGGGTATAGCTATTAACATCCATCTATCTGTCCATCCGCGAGCAGGCAGACGTTAGGCTCAGGCTACGTCTGCTCCGTGCCTGCGGTCTGCTTCGTCTGCTCGCTGTCGAGGCTAGCTTTCGATACGATCGGCGCGCACCAAAAGAAGTTTATTTACGAACCCGCATTCTCATCCCGGCGGAGGGAAACGAACACCTACTCGAAGCAGTGCTTGTGCGGCTTCCTCAACTCGCGGTGCCGTTTTCAGCGTTCGTGCGTTCAACTGACACGCTCACTTTTCGAAGCCGTGCTCTGACGTCTCGCTCTAGACGACGGTCCCAGTGCGATTTCGAGAGCGTCCGCTACACGCCCAATGGACTTTTTCCTAATACCGACGGCACCAGGCGGTGGCTGCACGAACTAAAAATCGAGGGAGTGACTATACCTGCGCTACCAATCGATAACGGGAGCTACGCTACCAGTTGCTTCGCTCTCTGAGCTGCGTCGCGTGCCCAACGCGACTTTAAAGAGGGAAATCCGTAGCGTCCACCCAAACGTCGTGTTTTTGTTTTCGTCCGCTTTCTTTGTTTGTGTAACACAATTATATATATGCTGCAATTACGTGTTTTACTCGTCGATCTACAGCCTCATTCCAAATTCCCTCGATTTTTCGTGCCGACTTCCACCGCTTGGCGTCGGGCGCTCGCGCGTGCGCAGAACGCTTCTCGGAAAAGGTTCATTCCCACAATCAGGCAAGTGTTGGGCTCCAAAGCTCACCTGTTCGGCACCGATTCAGTGGACGCCGCCATGAAATTATGGGGCAAACAACCACGTTGCCACGGCAATGCCATGGCAAACCGGGGCCGTGTTCTAAAATTTACTCGATCTTACTGCAGGGTAAGGGTTTTGTACTTTGGCGTTCCAAAACCTACCCTTGTCCAGCGTTTTTCAATCTGTGTTGTCACGTGACACTACCCGCCGGAGTAATTCTGATTCATTTGAGTAAGAGATAGAACACAGCCCGGGTGACGATGAAAATTATCCGAGACTTCTAGAAATTGGAGAACTTATTAAAAAGAAAAAGTACGCAGGAAAAGGATCGTCTCGGTAGCCGAAAGACTGAGGGACAATTTCGTGGCCGCGCCTACTTCCGTTGCACTTTGTTCGATGTACGGCAGAGCCGTGTATTGGGAGTTGGGCCATTCATTAGTTTAAATAGGCGAGCATCTCGTGGCTATTCACAGGCCGCGAAATCTCAAATTCCGTGAGAATGTCACCCTAGCGGTGGTGATAAAATACGAAAGTTTGACCACACGACGTTAAATGAATCAAAAGATACAAAAGAAAACATCAATCCAAATTATGGGATTGTGAGCGCGTGCAATATTTATTTGAGTAAAACGAACTTGTAAGCAAGAAAGAAAACACTATTGTTTTTCTTACCGACAAATATTTTCACCGAAATAAATGTTACAGGTGCCCACAAACCCAAATTTCGGTTTGACAAATTTTAGGCTTAGTTGGAAATCGGGAAATTAAAGAAATATGTCTCTTTTTTTTTTTTCGCGTCTTTTGATCCAAAGACCGTAACGTGCTCACTTTTTTGCATTTTACCACCACCGCTAGTGTCGCATTCTCACGTAGTTTCAGCTTTCTACGATGCGTGGTTTTTTTATGCAGACAAATAAACCTGGTTTCATATTCTCGGTCGATCCCCGTAGTTCCTAGTAAATTGCCCAAGTGTGCCGCCTGGCTGCTTTGTTTTCCTCATCATAAACAAAACAATGCTACACCGGCGCAAAGACTCTTTGTGAAGTTCGTACACAAAGCCAATTCTTCGGTCATATATACATGTATATATTTTTTTTTTCAGGTCTTTGCCACGTGCGAATGCCGAACGGACCATATGTTAGCTGTGGTAAAAAGAAAATTTATAACTTTTACTTCGTGTTATGTCAACATGCATGCCTCTAACACGGGACACGTCGACGTACTCTAAAAAAATGGGCATATTCTTACATCCCTTGTCCCATATAATACAGCAGAGAACTTGAATTCGACGTACAGCGCGTTGACGCCGAGCCAACGGTACCTACTTTCACTAGCGACTTGATAACCGAGTGGTGCAACTTATTCATATAACTGATGTTCCTGTACGTGTATACTGACTACAAAAAAAATTACTGGGGTTTTCTTGACCCTACTAAAAAGCCTTCTTTCTTTTTTGCGCTCTTTGAACGTATTTGAGCGGTTTAATCAGTTATATCCCACCGTTATCAAGCCCTTAGATGACGAACAACGCGACGTTGCACCTTTGCAGTTTGGACTCACTGGATTTGAATTTTAGAGTGCAGCTCTTAGGCTTCCGTTTCCGTGATTCGCTGCGTCGCCCTCGGCATCGGCCTAACCGCGCTAAATTTAGCGGGAAAATTTACGTCACATCACCTCAATACCAATTCAGTTCCCCGCTAAATTTTGCGGGGAAATTCAGCTTATCCGCTAGATTTAGCAGACAAATTTAGTTTCTCCGCTACATTTAACGGGAAACTTGGCGGAGAAACTGAATTTGTCCGCTAAATGTAACGAAGAAACTGAATTTCCCCGCTAAATTTAGCGAGAAAATGGAGTCACTAGATTTCCTCGCTAAATTTAGCGGAAAAATTGACTTCACGTGACCTCAAAGACAGTTCCATTCCCCGCTAAATTTAACGGGAAATGGAATTGGTGTTGAAGTCACGTGACGTCAATTTTCCCGCTAAATCTAGTGGAGAAACTGAATTTGTTCTCAGGTGACGTGACACCAAGTCATGTGACGTCGTTTTCCCCGCTGAATTAAGGGGGGAGCCTAAATTGGACGGGGAGGGGAGAGAAGGAAATGAAGGAGGAGAACGAGGAGGGGAGGGGGAAAGAGAACAGACGAGGAGGAGGGACATACCCTCTCCTCTGTACCTTCCCCTCCTCCTCTTCAAGAGCTGCGCTCTAATTTCGCATTACAGAGAATTGTAAACGTATTTCATTTTTTTTTTTGTTTCTTTTTAAAACGTATTGGTAGAGCGGCAATCGCGTTATTACTTTTACTTCACTACAGAAATAAAAGGCGTTTACAGACCTCTGTAATGCGGAACTAGAGCGCAGCTCTCGTCCTCCCGCTGTATTTGTTGAGGGGTGAGGTGACACGGAGTCATGTGACGCAATTTCGCCCGCTAAATTTAGCGGGGAACTTAAACCTTCTGAATTTAGCGGGAAAACTTAACATGCTAAATTTTGCGGGTTAACTTTCCCCGCTATATTTGGCGGTGAAATTGAGGTCATGTGACCTCTACACCAATTCAATTTCCCTCTAAACTTAGCGGGGCGGTTACGCCGACGGCGACGCCGCGAAACGCGGTAACGGGCACCTAAGGGCTGCGCTCTAAAAAGAAAAAGAAAAGAAACGAGGTCGGTGTTTTTATTACCTCTTGATCCGAACTCGTGCACTGAGAAGAAACGGGTGCTGTATCTCTTGCAGAGGAATTCTGGACGAACAGGACGTTTATAAATGTGACCATCAGTCCGTGTAAAGAAACGTCTCCTTGTATCCATGGAAAGAATACTGCGTACACGATCACATTTTACGCGAATGCCAGTAAGTGTCAACTAGTTGAAATCTTGGATGCAAATCTTTTTTTTTTTTTTTTACGGTTTTGAGTTTGCTCAAGCCCTCTCTACAGTGATTATCGTTCTAAGTTCACTGTGGCATTAGAACAGGGTCGGTGGGGCGGGGAAAAGGGGGTTGGAGCGACGGCGATGGCATCTTTTCAGACATTTCAAGAATTTGAAGTAAACAAGACAAAGGGGGTTAAAAAATCCCCCCCCCCCCCTCTCTGCCCTATCCCCAAGAGTTACGACGCATCCCTGTACCGGTGTATACGAGGTGTAGTCTGGCCACTGCAATTGCTTGCTACGTGTTTTGCCAATAAATCGCTGGGTCACTGCATGTACACCCGCCGGCAATATGAAGGTGAACACCTTACCTTGTTTCTTGCCTGTTTTACGGCTCCCTAAAGCTATATTAACTCTCAACGTCTCACATGCATGGTACGTGGCCAAGGGTCTAAACTTTGCGTTCTACCCTCTCGAGAGCTTGTTTAAAAACTTGCGGGAGCGTCAAAAACAAGAAGAGGGCTGTTCATCTTTATGTCGCTCACGGGTGTATACTGTCGTACCAGAGTTTATAGTCGCAATGTGAATGTGCAGCTCTGCTCACCTGCCGCGCGTAAGTGCATGGTGGTTCTTCTTGAAAAGGGAACACCACAGGTAGCACACAGGAACAGGCAGATGACTCGGATATTCACGGGTCGTTTTCTCCGTTTCCTAAGTATTCTCTGTAGGCCACAGGAGTTGTACATTTTGGTGGCAAGATAGCTTATGCGCGAACATGTATATGAGGTTGCATGCATCTACTATATGTAAACGGATCATGATCACAAATATTTGCCTGACTATACATGTTTAAAAGCTTAAATTTTACGCGGTACGGAGTATACTGAGGGATTTCTTTTTTTTTTTCTAGATCGTTCTTTGTGACGGTACTTGATGAATTTTGTGAATGAGAAAGGTTAATGATGGTTTTTGTATAATGCGAGCTTCTTTGTGGCACTATATTAAAGCAGACATTTGTAGACGCGTGCTGTGTATGATAACTTTTTCGTGCGTATGTCGTGTGCGCACCCTGTCCTGTCTATGGTCCGGAGGGACAATGTGCTACCTTGTTTGTAGTGCTATAGATGTAACCGAAATTTCAAGTACCTTTCAATGTTTCCCTGACGCAATGTAATAATATGTCCATGACAATGTAAAAAACAAAACAAAAAAGAAACAGACAATGGCATGAAAGAGGTGCGAAAGAGGCGAACGTTGAAATTACCAAGGACACCAAGACCATGCTTCATCTTCCGCACACAGCAAAAAGGTTAAAGGGGCGGTGCAACGATTTTCGGACTTTGGCCAATTAACTGAGGAAACCAATTTGTGAAATCTATGAAACGAAGAACGGAAAACCATATTTTGTGTCGAGTTCTAGTCTTTATTTGAACGAAATGAAACAAATCGAAGGTCAAAGTGTCTCACAACTCTCCACGTCCCCTTTCGAGTGACGTACTCTGGGGGATCACGTGGTTTCCCCTTGGATTGTCTCTTCAGAGACTCCAGCCGCTTTCTCCGCGATTGCCGACTTTTAAAGGGGTCGAGGTGACGTGTTTTTAGTCACTTATTTTTAGATAAACAACATAAAAAAACACAAACTGCCAATTCTTTGAACATTAAAATCGTTGCACTACCCTTTTAACGTGAGAGAAGAAAAAGTTATCGTTACATCTGTGACTCAGTGTATTGTCTGCTTCGTAAATATTTATCATTGGACGAATTAACACGCAGCACCGAATGACTGAGGGATTGTGGTTATGTGGAACTGACTTTTGACAATTGTTTCGTGGGATCTCATTTCGTATTTCTTAGGTTATGCAGATGAGATCAGACACTGGTGGATACGAAATTTAAACAGTAAGTACGGACCCTACTGTTTCATTAGTTGTGTTATAAAGTGTAACAATTGTTCTATTAAAGGACCCCTGAAAAAAAAAAAAGCTTTTTTAGACAGTCACGACCGAGATGGTCATTCCGGAATTACCCGTGACGTCATGGACTTTGCGCGCAGAATTTCGAATAAATCTCTCGCCATCAATGTTCTCTAATTTTTTTTTCGCGTAAAATTTATTTCTTGACACACGTGTATCAGCCAGACTGTTTTAAAAAAAAAGCTTCTTTTTTTTCAGGGGCCCCTTAATAGGATTCTGGTTTTTATTTTGTTTTTAGTTTTTACCCGACCACCATTCACTGACGTTTATAATGTTTCTTTTTTTTTTTTCCTTTTCACCAAATGAATGTAGCGTTTATTTTTCCTTGTTGCTTCGACTTTTTTTTTTAATTGTGTGATGTTTTGTAAAATTGCTAATATTGAACTATCTAGAGGCTTTGTCACGAACTCCAACTTGTGACCTCTATGCGGCGAACTTTCGCCAAACAAATTAGAAATATTCTAAATTTAAAGTGCTGAATGCGTTTAACGAATCCACCTAATCCGATAAATTGGTCCGTCCGTCCATGCGTGCAGTTCTCGGCTAAATTGAAGGGGCGAAAATGGCCTCACTTCAGGTCGGGGTGTCGCCTAACATGAGGACTTAGCCAACGTTACTCGATTATCTCAGTTACAAAACTGAGGCGCTGCTCGCACAACCGGTGTCCCCCTCTCTCCCCCCACGGTTCGCCTCCCGGCGTTCGACGCGCCACCGTTTCGGGGGGACGGCCGCTATGGTAACTGCAGTGTGTATTCTATCCAATACGTATGTTTCGGAACGCAGCATCTAGATGGCGTGTCACCGTACTCTAAGAAACACGTAGCTTTAAAACTGAAATCTAGATGGCGCTTGAAACGACGGGAGGCGGACTAAGGGGAAGAGGAGGGGGGGGGGGGGGGGAGGCACCCTCTTTCGTGGGAGTGCAACAAGTGTAATAATCTAATGACGTTGGACTTGACACGTTGATGTCACGTCACGCGACCACGTCGTGCAATCCCAGGTCACGTGACGTCGGTTTTAACCGCTAAATTTGACGGGGAAATTGTAGTCACGTGCCTAGACGTTACGTGACGTCAATTTTTCCCCTAAGTTTAGCGGGTAAAATAAAAATATATTCGTCACTCCCCGAAACGATTGTACAATGTCTTCCAGCAAATTTAAACGATAAGGTAGCTGGTAATTTCTTTTTTTTTTTTAATATTTGCTTAATTTGCGTACCTTTTAACGATAGTAATATTATTTTGGTCTCAAACGGCTCACACGGTCCTCTTCTTCTCAGTTTCTCACGTGGATCAAGGAAAGTTGCGTGGATCGCTGTTCATCAAGCAATCCACTGGGGACGGAAAATGGTTGATGCATAGCATTCCGATTAACTTCACAAACCCTCAAGTGGACATTCCCATGAGAGTGACAAAGGGCCAGATTTTTAAGGGTACCGTCACAATATGCCCCGGCACTTTCCACGCCGTAAGTTCAAGCTACCTATTTCTTTTTCTTTTTTTTTTGTTTTAAGCAACGTTTTTAAAGGGGTCATGGAATAAATCTTCTGCTCGGATAAATAATTTTAGATTAGAATCTTACTAATCGAATATCGTTTAGTGAACCAAACGAAAGAGGGTAGAAAGTCAAAAGCCTGCTTTTCAGTATACGAAAATACGAAGTATAGCGGACTATTTATTGCCGCCTTTCCTTGGAAAGCTTTTCGCCTTTTCACTATGATACATCCGCGGTACTCAAAGCACGCCAGCCTACCCCAGCTCACGCATTGGACACAAGCACTGCGTCGCTCGTCAACGATCAATCCGTCGACGAATATTTGAATTCGCGTGCCTTTCCAATGAGTTATCACTTATCATCGCTCGCGAATGACAAGTTCCATGCTGTGCTTAAAAAGGACGGTGTTTGGATTCATTGTATACCGGTGCCCAAGCATGTCACGACCATGTGATTTCTCATTTCGTTTTTGAGTTGAGGAGGAAAGCTAAAAAGGAAGAAGTTTAACAATCATTTCATGGCCCCTTTACGGTGGCTATAGAAGAGGGAAGTGTCAGCATCGCGCAGCTTTTTGTTCCGTGTGCGGGAGCGCCCTAGTATATCACGTTAAGGGCTGGGGAACGGACAGGCTGGAGACCGGGTTTGGGCTATAGGGTGACTATGTTTTAATGGGACATGAGATGATGGTTGCGTTCGATGGTAGGTCCCATTCCGTCTGCGCCGCGCGAGCCCGCGGGTCCCCCTTTTATAGTCTCGGTGACGTGACGATGTTGCGTCACCGGCGGGATCCTTGTGTGATTGGTGGTGGCTGCTGGCTTCGATGAAGATGAGGGGCAGCAACCACTCTCATTACCCCGGAGGTTTATGTCGCAGCAGCTTCTCTTGATGTTGGAGAAAGAGCAAGACCCGTTGATGTCGGTTACTTCAGCTGATGTTCGAAAGCCTTGGTTCCGTGTCTTCGAGAGGGTCTCTGCCGAGCGATGGTGTTGCGGACCGTCCCTGTAAATGTGCCCTGGATGGAGACGGCCTCGCCGGGGTGTGGAACGTAACAATCGTGAAGACGATTGTTTGGCGCGCTCGTCTCTGAGATGCCTATTGCAGACGCCGCGCCGGGAAAGACAGGTTCGTTTCACTAGAAGTGCCCGTTTGGGGTCCTCTTCCCGGAAAAATTGCCCCATGCGTCGAGACTACCGCGATGGCAAGACGGCGGACACACTGCTTTGCTCCCGGATGCGGTATACATTTCTGCGAGAAAGAGAAGAAAGCGAGCTCCTTCTTCACCACTCCCGACAACGACAAAAGCATTGGCAGGTTTATTCTAGCGTTACGTTAGCCACATGTCCGAAACCAACATAATTTAGCTTTCAAAATGATTTTAAAGGGACCATGAAACGGGATTTTGAAATCGATTTTCATCCACTGCACGTCGTAAAAGGTGTGAAAAGAAAACCAAAACACAAAAATAGAGAGCAAAAAAAAAAAAGTTTCGCTATAGAACTTTTAAAAGAAAAGCGGACACTTTTATACCTTCTTTCCTTTGAAAGCTCTGAGCCCTTTCACTGTGATGCACCCGCGGTGACGCGGCACGTTAGCCAAGTCCACATCGCCTATTGGATAAGAGCCTCACTCACCATCACCGCGATCATAAACAATAAATAGCCGGCACATGTTTCTTCAGAGTTTTGTCAAAGAATATTCTGATCCACATTTTGTTGAATTATTAGGGATGTGACGGAAATTGCCGAATTTTATAATGCTCGGAGCTCGCTACGCGCCATCTATCGTGTGGTAAACGAACCAAAAGAAAGATAACACTGCGCTTACGCAAAGCCGCCTGTCTGCTGAAAAACGTGGCGTCAGTAGTGATGATCGACGCGGTCGGCGTGGTGGAAGTTCATCGTTCCGCGTAGAGAGCGCTATCCTTGACTGAATTCTCTTAGCGTGTCACGGTGATAACCCAGCCCGTCCTAGCATGGAAGATTCATCTACTCGTGCGGCAATGTGGCGGCACCTTCAAGACAGCAGAAACGCTCGTGCCGTCATCTTTGTTTACTTCGACTACAGTGATATTGATAATTTTTATTGCACTTGGGAGTTAGAAATGTACAGGCGTGCTGGTGTTGGGGAAAGGCTGACGCCCATGCAACTAGTATGCCCACAACACCGACCCTTGCACTCTTACAATATAAATACATCTGTACAAAATAATAAAAAAAAAGCTAGTGTGCTTACAACACGGATTTGCGCACTCTTACAACATTATACATTTGTACAAAATGGTGAAAAAAAAAGTAGGTAAATAAGCTAGAAATAGAGGGGGAAAAGTTTTAAACACTGTGAGAGGGGTCACGGAGGAGCAGATGAGCTACTTCCTTCGCCTCTTGGGGATCAGAGGGGATGTGTTCAGTGAGGTCTGGGAGGAGTTCCCTCCAAAGTGTAGCTGCCATCAGCAGGCAGGACTCCCCATGCCATAATGTTCAGGACATCACGGGCTGGAGTCTACCTGTTCTTCTGTTCACTCTGGGAGCATCATAAAGTTCCTGCTGGTTTGGTTCCAAGATCCTGCAGAACAGCCGGACAGATGCTAGCTGCTGTCGCTGGTGCAGGCGCCTCCAGGCAGCAGTTTTTAGGAGGTCACTAGAGGGTACCTTGTACTGTGGTTTGCAGATATTTTTGCGGGGTGTACCAAACCGCAGAGGGCAGTACTCTAGGTGCGGCAGTACCAGCGCAGTGTAAAGGTGGCGGAAGGTGTTGGGTGTCATCCCTCGTGTGACTAGAGTGACGAAGCCCAGCATGCCTCTTGCTTTCGATGTGGTGCTGTGGACCCGGGGGCAAAGTTGAGACGGCTGTCCAGGACGTCACCAAGGGGGGTTGTGGAGGGCACGTGCTTTAGTGGTAACCCAAGCCTCAAGCTTAACTCTGGGTGGCTCATGAGCCACCCAGAGTTAAGCTTGAGGCTTGGGTTGTAATTTCGGAAGAGACAATGAATGTCATTGCAAGACTTTTAGAGCAGTTAAAGGGTAGTTTGTTTTCGGCTGACCAGCGAAAGCACTAGTCGAGGTCGTCCTGAAGGGCTTGGTACGAGCTGTCAGAGCAGATAGGCTGAAGAAGGGACAGGTGCGTTCGATCCACCCGCACGTTTTGCGCCGGTGCAGAATAGTGTATCGGGCAGTGTACACTTCTGGTCGTATCTCAATACGCGTAACACTATTCCGCGCCGGTGCGGGGAAATCCGACGAAGCTATAATGCGACGGGACTCTGGTACGAGGAGGAAGCATGCCTCGGACGGTACCTGCACACTGTGTCTCGTACGATGCAGTATGAACGCAGACTTGTAAATTCAGGCCTGCCTTCGCAAGAACCAACGAATTAAAAAAGAAATGTTCCCGACTTTTCCTTGTTATTGCCGATTGGAATTCATTGCCTACGCATGTACGGGCCATGAAACTGATCATATGACGTCATCGTTAAGGGAGAGGCGGGATTCACTGGTGGTATATTGACTAGACTGATCTTCCTTTTTTTTTCTTTTTTCAGGACACCCTGGACATTGAACTGGACGTGGGTTCTGTACCATACTACTTCGCATGCTGCAAGGCGCAGATCCACTTCCAGCGAGAATGGAAGAAGTGCCTCAACTACGACGATCCTCGAGAGGACTCCACACCGACCACACGCTCTGAACTTTGAGCCGAACCAGCTGACTACTTGTTTTTGTCTTAGAAAAAAACAAGCAAAAAAAAAAAAAAACAGAGATTATATATACCAACTCGAACAGATGTTATATCGTTCTGCCGGAATGTCGCTGGGATAAGGTCATCCAAAAGGTCGGGGCTTTAAAAGTTGAGACGGCTTTACGCCCGAAGACGTAAAGGTTCTGAGACAATGAACTCTTACATGAGCGAATGTTTTCACGGAAATGTGACGCACGGGGGGCCAACAATCTAGAAAGAAAAATGTTAGCGTCTGAAAAATCCGACTTTTCTTTTAACCCACGAAAGACTTCGGTTGACAACAACTAACGCGCGTATGTCTTAGACGCTGAATTTTCCGCGCCAAGGCGAGTCCCACACTGACACTGATGCAGCACTCCGGTCCAATCTTCTTACCGCGTTGGCCCTCTTTAGGTGACGTATACAAGATCAAACACTACGGCCATCTGGGAGCTGTTGTGCAACAGGGAACACCAAATAGAAGACAAGAACCGCGTTCCAAAATTTACCCGTTCCCACCCTAGGGTCCGGTTCCTTGGCGTTCGAAAACCTACCGGTGTCCAGCCGGGCTCTATTTCTTTTGTCACCGTTACGTAATCCGCCGGAGTAACTCGGATCCAATTCGAGTAGGATTGGGAACACAGCCGAGGCCTTCGCCTTTTCCCCACAAACGTCTTCACGGAAATACGACACGCGAGGGGCCAACAATCTAGAAAGAAAATAAAGACACGTACAAGTCTTTGAGGGTAGACAAGACCTCAAAAAGTGGCAGCCACTCAGGTGTTGGTTGCTGGTCCTTATATAATTCGTTCAGAGAGCACATGTATCAACAAAATATTTATGCACGGGATGAACATCTATCATTTCGAATGATGCCGAGCGGTCCAGGCAACATTCTATCGCCTGCTGTGTTGAGCGCGACGGCAACTTCCACTCAAAATGTTTGAACATTCGTTCTGAAGATTACAACGTTCTTTTTCGCGACGGAGTCAGCATTTACAAGTGCAGTGCTTGCACGAGGCTACCGTGCTCTGAGGTAAGCATCGACAGCGAAAACGCGGTGTCGACGAGCTAGACTACGCATACTGTCCCCGAATTCAATGACGAGTTATTTGATATGGCTACCAGTACCACTCTGGCTTGCGTCCGATATCTCTGTAGCTATATACGCAAAAATATTACGGCACTTCGACGTTTGAATCTGAAAAGTTACTAAGACTGCGTGTGGCTCGAAGTAAAATCAGAAGGGCCGAAAAATCTTCTTACTGGGAATTATTATTTACCACCGTCTCCCAATTTTCTAGAATTGGGACAAGTTTTGGATACATTATAAGACAGACTAGACCCGTCTAACTTTAATATCCTTCTCGGTGATTTCAACGTGCCTGGTGGATAGCGATTCCTTAGCCGCCATCTGTCAAAAAGGTAATCAGCTTTTAGATTGTTTTAATTACAATGATCTATATCGTGGTGAAGTTCCTCTCAACGAATGCGGTAATGCTTTAGACGTTTTTACAGCGGAGCTGTTAAGGGCTAGTTTCCCCAGGATCATGTCCGGTACCAAACAAATGTCGACACAACACTCTGGTTGCCGCCGTCGCTCATAGATGGCGGTAGCTGTCCAGGGTGTTGTGTTTGCCGGTTGTCTGCTTGCCGCCGTCGCTCATAGATGGCGGCACCATTTCTTCGGAGGAAGAAGAGCGGGAACGGATCGAGCGGCGATGTGCGCAGCAGCGCGAATGGTTCCGTAACCGCCGCGAGGCCGCTATCGCCTCAAGTTCCATTGCGTCGAGCGATTCAGATTCCCTTGCGAAAGAAGAGCAGATCGCTCGCCTGGAAAGCCACCGCCGAGAACAGAAGTTGCAGCTCCGCTGCTTTTCCTTCTTCATCAGAGTGGAAAGGCTGGAAGTTTTTGATGGGGGAGTGAGTGGCTTGTCGGATATATAAACCCTCTCGAATCGTAGATGTTTTTTTACCTGACGAAAAGCGGTTCCCGCTCGGAACGACGTCGTAATAAACTTTGTTGTAGTAGTTTCCCAGCAGAACACTTCTTTTACTTATCACTCCTCCCGTCCCATTGCTTCAAAGTTACTTCACTTAATATATATTTACAGGGTGTTTCACGGAAAGTGGACAAATTCGATATTGCGAAAATTATGCGTCGCAGCAAAAAAATTATTGTGTCGTTTTGGTCCTGGGCCGGAGGCCGGGAAAACAGTGAGCGCTTATTTTGTTGAGGTGATCATGCTTCCTTTCTGTTCAACACTTCTCTCTCTCTGTTGAGGTGATGGCATCGTAGATTGGTTTTGTTATTATATCGTGTTCCCTATACATGCGGGAAAACCGGGCCCAGTCAAAGCTTCCTATGGGAAGCTTTTTTGTCCGGTGTCCTCGGTACAAATTTGGCGTATAAGAAAGTTCAAATTTCTCTTCATACCTCACTGAGTTTGTTCTGAAGAACACCGCGAACGCTTTACCGATATTACTGTGCCTGGAAGGTGCCTCCAACTGGTGGGTCGACCCAGTCGAAACAACTAGTCCCTGGTTTCCCGCCTGATGACGTCAACAAAGTGTCATTCATGGAGTATGGCTGGAGCGCCCACCATGATCCTGGCGGTGACGCAGCAGCGGTCTGTGTTCTTGCGACAGACGCCTGTTCTTTTGTAAGTCGCGCTCTCCAGCTTCACAGTCGACGGAAAGGTCGGTAGCCGGGACGCCGCGACGACAAAGACACTTGCGTTCGCACAAGCCTTTTTCATATATATATATAACTTTTACGGTTTCATCGTTAGGATTGCGACATCCAACAGCATGACACTCCGGGCTAGTGTGACGTCATTCGTTGTCACTTTGGAGCCACTGTCGAGGGTGGGATAGAACAAAAAATAGACCGGTCGGAGACGCGTTCCATAGGCAAAGTATCGCGATCAACGGACGTCACAAAAGTGGAGATTATAACCGGATTTTATTGCTCTCCTTTGAACGCCGCGACAGAATCCGCTGGAAGGACCTCGGTCGCTCTACAATTCCACGATGTCGAATTCACCGCAGGCGAATTTCTTCATCAAAGGGCCCACCTCGATCCGGACAGTCAACTTGCCCTAAAAAGAAAAGGGCACAAAAATTACAAACAATTGATAAAAAAAAAAAAATCTTTGATGTTGTTCAACTTTGCTAGAAGATGTAAAGACCATTCCGAAAATTGCCTCCTGACCGCTGCCATCTTTGTTTACTGAGCTGTGATACGCGTTCCGAGCATGCGCACTAGCTCGACGGCTAAGTGACTCCGTTTTCAGCCCGGGTGACAACCGCTGAAAAGGTGTGTAAAAATTATCAATGAGTTTCAATTGAGTTCCTAATGTACTCTATAAGAATACATTAGAAACTAAATTGAAACTCATTCATAATTTTGATGTAAGAGTTTACAGGAGCCACACGTGTTTCTGCGCAGAAACCAAGTTCGCGAGAACTGAAGCGTCTGCGCATGCGCCGACAGCAGCGCCATAACGGTCGTCAATTCGCGGTCTGTTTGGCTTCAGTTTACGGATTTGCTGGGAAGTTCTTAGCGTTCAAAATGTTGTACTTAATGTGCTTGGTTATAATAATTTGTAGTAACACTACGCAGAGCGCAAGTTGATCCTCTTCTTTTGCAGGCCTTGTGGTGACGGCAGAGCACTGAGCTCCGATTGGCTCTGACTGACGAATAGTGGCTAAACCTCAAAGCAGGCTGGGTTATTCAGGTCTACCCACTATCCTTCAAGCAGAACCAGTCAGAGCTCGGAGTTGTGATGTCAACGCAAAGCTTGCAAAAGAGGCAGACCAACTTGCGCGTCGCACACGTAATTGCGCTGTTTCATCCGACTCGAAGGGCTCGCGGATGAAGGCACTTCGTTTAAGCCGCTGCCGCACTGATCATACACCATTCAAAGGACACACGGTGTTCTCCGGACCCGCTTCAAGTACGTTCCAAGCATGTTCGTTTCATACATATGTGTTCTTCGAACATGTCCTGACCAACACGGCAGGAACGGCCATACGAGGAAGACACACACCTTACACACTGTCTGCAGAAAGTCTTTTGTATGGCGTATTAGCAGTAACTGCAGGAAGGTTTTCTTAGAAGCTGGATATTTACATTCGAAACGTTTGTTTCCAGAGGGAGGGAAAGAAGTAAAGGACGAGGATGCTATCTCATACAGGCTGTCCGCTGTTTCTACGGACAAAAGTTATTTCGGTCCATAAATAGAAAACAAAAAGAAAACGCCCTATGAAATCACCTATTGTCGGGGAAGAGAAAAAAAAAAAGGAGAAGTGGAGTATCGGTGCCCCGCCTACGTCGACGCTTGCAAAGATTACGAGCGATATGCTCGGGTAAACAGACCAGGTTCATATTCTCCGGGGTTTTTAGCGTCTCCCGACTCACCGGGCGTTAAAAGCAGAAACCTGCACAACGTCGGGCTTTGCATAGACAAACCGTTTCTCTTTTTCGAACAGCTCGGTGCATTTGTTCATTGGGCGTCTTGGTTTTTGGCAAGCTGCGCTTTATATATCCGAAGGGGGAAACAATTTTTGCGTAGTATAGTTTGTGTTCTGCTGCAGGTCGGTCTCCAGCTTTGACAGACCACGAAAGCTTTGACAGCCGAGTGTTGGGACACCACGACGATAACGACACTCGCGTTTGCTCCTGCTGCCGGAACTTCTACGACCAACCAGCAGGATTGCGACATCCGACAGATCGACACTCCGGGCTGTTTTGACGTTTGATACATCGGGGCCATTTTGAATGCACGGCCGGAATAATGGCGCATTCACACTGGAAGCGGATCCGCGTTCGCGAAGCGGTCGCGGATGCGGTTCGCGAGCGACCCCGTTCAGACACACCAAGAGGCGGTTGGCGGTTTCTTGGCGATCACGCGTGATCTTGTGAGACTTGTGTTTGGCAACCCTGTTTTACAATCCAAAATCCACTTTAAGTCAAGATCCAAAGCCAAAGTTATACTATTTTGGCACTCGGAATATTTTTCTCCGGGATGTTCGCGCGCATCACGAGTTCACGCAGGGAAAAAAGAAGCATGGACCCGCCAAACTCGCCTGTGATTCCCTCAACTTCGCCCACAAGCAAAGCCCAGCTAGGCGCGCCTTGCTGACTCAGAACAAGATGCCCCCGACCTTTTCTTCGAAGTGGACCCTTCCCGCATGAATAGCTGACCTTGTTCTCGGGATAGAGGGCCAGTTTTCCCCTTCGTTGTTCGCTCTTATCATTTTCGAAGTTGTGAGCGGTGGGGTGGACCGTGGTGCGGGGGAATGTGTTCGGCGCTAGCCGGTCGTTGCTTCGTTGCTGGCGGACTCTCCTCTCGTCACTCGCTCGTCGATCGAGTCTACTGTTTGTTTGGTATTAAGCTCAAATAAACGCCGTATGGATTACCTCTGCATTGTCTGGTACGTACACTTTATTCTTTGAGTAGGTTCCATTTTTTATTTTATTAGTAGTAAACGTTACAGGTCGAGCTAGCGCAGGTACCCTGCCCCCTCCGCGGTAATGAGTTGGCTACGCAATCAAGCTCACGACGTCTTTATCGGTCTTCGTGGTGGTCATGCACGGTGTCAAAAGCTTTCAACAGTTCACGTGGCTATCCTAGTGGGAAGAAAAGCTGACATTTCGGTCGATCAGGGGCGGGTTCCGAAGTTCTACAGGCAGAGATTAACAAGGCAGCGAGCTTGGGTTGTGGCACCCGGTATAATAAACAAACTCTTACCCGAACCAAATCACCGGTGCGAAGCCTGCTAAAATTACGAGTCAATTCTTTTCGCGGCAGTTTCAAGTGACGGACGTGAACATCAAGTTTCTCCGTTGATTTGTCGAAAGCTAAGACTACAGCGCTAGGACTACAGCGCCTTGGACGCCCCACCAGCGACAGGTGCCATCTTGTTTCGAAAGTCACTGACGTCACGTCAGCGTCGCGTTGTGATTGGTTGCCGCTTTGCGGTTCGTGAAAGCGGTTGGGAGAAATCGGTCCCGAAGCGGTTGGCAAAAACGCGCTCCAACCGCTCGATCCTAGCCGCTTTGCGGTTGAGAATGCGCGGATCCGCGTTCGCAAAGCGGATCCGCGCATTCTCAACCGCAAAGCGGCTAGGATCGAGCGGTTGGAGCGCGTTTTTGCCAACCGCTTCGGGACCGATTTCTCCCAACCGCTCTCACGAACCGCAAAGCGGCAACCAATCACAACGCGACGCTGACGTGACGTCAGTGACTTTCGAAACAAGATGGCACCTGTCGCTGGTGAGGCGTCCAAGGCGCTGTAGTCCTAGCGCTGTAGTCTTAGCTTTCGACAAATCAACGGAGAAACTTGATATTCACGTCTGTCACTTGAATCCGCCGCGAAAAGGATCGAGTCGTAATTTTAACGGGCTTCGCACCGATGATTTGGTTCGGGTAAGAGTTTGTTTATTATTCCGGGTGCCACAGCCCAAGTTCGCTGCCTTGTTAATCTCTGCTGTAGAACGTCGGAACCCGCCCCTGATCGACCGAAATGTCAGATTTTCTACCCACTAGGATCGTCGCGTGAACTATTGAAAGCTTTCGACACTGTGCATGACCACCACGAAGGCCGATAGAGACGTCGTGAGCTTGATTGCGTAGCCAAGGCACTACCGCGGAGGGGGCAGGGTACCTGCGCTAGCTCGAACTGTAACGTTTACTACTAATAAAACAAATAAAGGGAACCTACTCAAGGAATAAAATGTACGTACCAGACAATGCAGAGGTAATCCATACGGCGTTTATTTGAGCGTAATGTCAAACAAACAGTAGACTCGATCGACGAGCGAGTGACGAGAGGAGAGTCCGCCACAAACGAAGCCACGACCGGCTAGCACCGAACACATTCATTCCCCCGCACCACGGTCCACCCCACCGCTTACAACTTCGAAAATGATAAGAGCGAACAACAAGGGGGGAAACTGGCCCTCTATCCCGAAAACAAGGTCAGCTATTCATGCGGGAAGGGTCCACTTCAAAGAAAAGGTCGGGGGCATCCTGTTCTGAGTCAGCAAGGCGCGCCTGCTGGGCTTTGCTTGTGGGCGAAGTCGAGGGAATCACAGGCCAGTTCGCGGGTCCACACTTCTTTTTTCGCTGCCTGAACTCGTGATGCGCGCGAACATCCCGGAGAAAAATATTCCGAGTGCCAAAATAGCATAACTTTGACTTTGGATCTTGAATTAAAGTGGATTTTGGATTGTAAAACAGGGTTGCCAAACGCAAGTCTCGAAAGATCACGCGTGATCGCCAAGAAACCGCCAACCGCCTCTCGGTGTGTCTGAACGGGGTCGCTCGCGAACCGCATCCGCGACCGCTTCGCGAACGCGGATCCGCTTCCAGTGTGAATGCGCCATAAGACACGTTCCAGGCAACGCAGTCAGCATAGCCGGCAGCACGTCGCGCAGCATCTCACAACGAACGCGACGACGCCAAGACGGACGCGTCTGCCACTTTTCCGTTGTCTCTCGTCGACCTTCGGCGCGTTTGCCACTTGGGGAGGGTCGGAGGTCCACAAAAGATGACGTCAAGCACAGGCCTCGCCTGCTTCTTCCGCAGGGATTCCACTGACGTCAGAATGTTGAGCCCTGGTTGACTCTGGTGGAGGGACAGTGGGTAGGTCTCAGTGCTATAGCTACCTTGAGGTCTACCCACTATCTTTCCAATCGGAACCAATCAGAGCTCGGCATTCTTGCGTCACTGCGACCCCCGCTCATGAAGCAGACAAACCTGCGCTCCGCCGTCTAAACAGATACACATCCGGGAATTTTACTTACGGCTGAGAAGGCCTTGTGGATGGGTACTTTGACGTTTCCCATGAACGTTTCCCCGGCCTTCACGGTACAGGGAACGTCGACGAAGTGACAGCTGTCCCAAGTGACCATGTTGATCTTGAAGGAGTCGGTGTGCGACTGCACCACCAGCTTGACGTGCATGTCCTCGATGTCTTCGGCTGAAATCAGAGAACCCTATAGATATCAGAGAGGGAAAAACTGGAGCCATAAAGAGTGTTTTGCAGTTTAATGACGAACGCCCCTTAATCGCGAGTGCGGATCCGTTGCGTTTTCTCGGGGCGAGGACGAAAGACGCTTTCGTCACCTCCTCGTGCCCGCACCGCAAACGCTGCCCATAGACCACGTGACTTTTGTCCAGCACTTGGAAACACTGCAATCTAGGCGTGCGCACTAGCTGAAATCCCAAGATGGGGCGCCCTCTTTATTGTCGTCAACTTTATTATAACTTACGAGTTATAAGGAAGTGGAGGCCCCAACTACCGAAACAAAAACCCAAACGTCTACAGATCCATGCCCTTGAAGTGCTCTGGAATATCTGCACACATCGATAGCCACTATAGTGTGGCTATCAATATGTATTGTAGGACACTATTTATAGTGTTCCACAATGGACTCCACTATACTTGCTTTCAGCGGCCGAAACTACGAGCAGAAGGAACCAATGAGACGGCGTTAAACGCGCACTATCATGGTGGTTGTCCTGTTTACGTACGTGTTCTATCACCGTAGAACCAAACCTAACCAGAAAAGACCTAGTGCCATGCGCTGCTTTTGACGCCGCTTGACGCCGTATCGGCTGCTGTGTTCCATTTTCAGTGTTCGTGCTTATGACGCGTGACTTGCTCGCTTTCCAAAGCGACGAACATGCGCTTGCTGGGCTGAGCAGATCGAACGCTGGGCTGAGCAGATCGAACGCTGGGCTGAGCAGATCGAACTCTGGGCTGAGTATTAACTTGCAAACATTGGAATGATCTATACTCACGAGATTCGGCCATGAAAGTGGCGTTGTACGACTCTCCACGCTCAAAGGCACAAGGGTCACTGTCACAAGGCGTGATCATCAGGCTCTTGAGCAGCTGATGGTCTCCGAAATCTAGAACGATGAATAATATGAAACTGTCAATTCAAGTTTTCTTATCAATGAAGAAGAGCAGTTTAAGCAGGACGAAATGTTCCACTAGGGGCTTAGTGGTGCTATAAAGAACAGTTTTTTTTTATTGCCGATCATGTGCTAAACTTCAAAATTTCTACTGAACACAAATCACTGTTGTGTTCTTCAATGAATGATGCTTGCACCTGGGCTATGTGGTTATTTCGTTCATGAAAGAAAGGTGTCCAACCACATACCTTTACATTTACGTAGCTTAATTTCTTGCTGCGCGGCGCAGACGGTCGCAAGTAGAACGACGAAAACGAGGGAGGCGTTCATGGCGGCACTCGGTGCTTCAGAACGTTGTCAGCACTGTTCTGAGCAAGCGTTTTATACACACACCTTCTTATCGCAGAAAACCGAAGGTCCATTGTTTATGCGACTTCCCAGACGGTCGGCTTTCGAGCATCGGGAGCAATTTCCGCTCAGTATCTCCGATAAATTGATCACTTCATCACGCGGAATGATGAATTCTTATCGAGGCTGTTTTTGTTCGTGTTCCCGCGTTGCACGTCTGGTGCTCTTCGGACTTGTGTCGAAGCCGCGAGCTATGTTTAGACAATCGTCGAAGTACATGGCTATCGGCGATAACAATGGCCACCCTCTGTCCTCAAAAGCCCTACGTGAGATGGGCAGACTGAAGCCGCATCCTCATGCATCATACAGAAAAAAAACGCGGTGTTCGCCGTATGACATGATGACCGAATTATTTTCTGACGCGTCTCAAGGATCTTCCAAGTATGTTTGCTTCATACATACGTATGCTTCTAATCTTTCTGCAGACGCTCTTTGTATGACCAAAGTGACAGTCATACAAGGGAGGAACACACCCCAGACGGTGTCTGCAGGTTTTGGAGAAAAGCAGCGTGAGCGCGGTTTACTACTGGCTTCGGGGGATCAAGAGAGCACCTTACACCAAAGGCCGTTTGCAGTTTGATGGCCGACACCTCTTGCGGATGAGCGCGTTGCCGCGTGGCAAATAAGATAGCGGGCAGACAGGCTGAGCAAAGCTGGGCTTGCGGACATTGCAAGATGGCCGGCACGCCGACGAAGCAGAACACAGAAGACGCGGATCTGACGCTGCGTGCTGCTCAAGCGATAAGCTTGTGCCGTTGTTTGCTTTTTATAAAGCCTGAAATTAGGATGGAAGCGAATGCATAATTTTTCATGATTTAATTTGCATAAAAAAATCTAATTACATGAACATACGCATCCGTGAATCCACAAGGCACCGTCATTCTATGTACATAAGAGAGCCGTTTGCTAGAAACGATTGCTTCCAGTATAGTTTGTTTCCTAAAGCGAAAAAGGAGTGGAATGCTCTGCCAAGTGGCGCTGCCACCCTAACCTCAGTTAATGAGTGTGTTAAAAACGTCGACAACATGATACTTTGTCACACGTCGTAAGTGTTGATTAATCACGATGCTCATCTGGTGTTCTACTCCCACCCCCAGAGTTCCTTCCCATTATTTTTTCACTTGTTATGTTGGCGTTAAACTGTATAAGTGCTTCAGCCCTTCGGATGCTGCGCCATTGCCTGTTTATCAGCGGGTCATATGACAGCAGCATTTTTTTTTCGTGCTTTTTGTCACAGCATGTATTAGTATCCTCTGCCGGCGTTCTTTTTTTTGTACTTTATTGTGTATTGTTGTGTGCATGTATGTGATTTACTGCATTATACCACCCACTCCTGTAGAAGCCGTGTCTATGGCTGACAATACCAATAATTAAAAATAAAGAAATAATAATTAGCACGCCAGAGTTCAATTTACTCTATACAAATGTCAATAAAGGTAACGTTTCGAGCTTTACTTTGCTTAGTCGTCATTTCGGGGAAAAAACGTAAACAAAGTCGGATTGTGAAGTTTTTTGCATGCAGCGCGCACCGCATGGGAATGCAGGAGCTGCGCTGCTTTGTTTAGCTAAACGGTTATGGGGATCATGAAGTGAAACTGCTTCGGAAACAAAGAATGAACGCAGTGTACGATGCAAACAAGAACCGGCGCGTTCTCAGGGTTATGTTTGAACTCGCATCAAACGAACGAGTCGCTATTGTAAACCACCCAATGACGGTAGGGGCTTGGCTGCCCTGTCTGCACGTTCCCTTTCAAAGTAGCGCAAGGTGCGTCGATGCGCGAGGCACATGCAACCCGCAGCTCTTGGGAAGATTGTGACGAAACAGCGCAGCACTGAGCTAGATTTCAGACGCCACGTTCTTGGCACAAGTGGCGCGCGGATCGCGTCTCGAGTAAAACCCCTAGATAGGAGCTTCCTACAAGTAGCCACATTCTTTGAAGCGCCTACTGTATGACGGTGCAGATTTTAGGAAGAGAATGGCGGCGCACAGGAGAGGTTTGAACTGAATGCCGCCATTTTGTTCCGACGGCTTGTGCTTTGTCATTTGTATTAATTGTCGTTACTTGTAAAAGAAGTAGCAAGGGACTTTATTCTGCAGCATTTCCACAACAACGAATGGCGGAACTTGTCAGTTATTGAGGGGCTTTACGTTCCCTTGGCCTTTTCTGTGTTGCCCTTAGGCGTTCTCCTCCTTGCGTTCCAATGCGCCAAAGAATCATTTCGGAACACTTGCTCGCTGTATTGTAAATCACGTGACTACGATCGGCACGCTAGTAGGTGTTTTAGTGTTGCGAGGTATATAAGCTCCATCTCACAAACATCTCCAGTACATACAGAGGCATGGGTGCGAGTGCGAGGCTTTGGAAAGAACCTGTTGTCCCGTCCCCTGTCTTTACGTATATAACCCTATCTAAACTTACATCATTACCAACGCGCTCACTAACAAGTATACCTGTACGAGTTCTCGTACAAACAAAAGCATTTTGCTGAGGTAGGCTCACGCGCCTGTGCCTTTGTCTTTACTGAGGGCAATTCTGAGATGAGGTATCGGCGCTTTGCACACGCGGGCAAGATTCTAGTCGCCATTGCTGACATGCTCTTGTCTTACCAGATGCCAAGCCATTGACGCGGGCATTGACGAGCTTCCACAAAGGCCAATGCTAGGGAAGAAGGAAACAGTAGAATCTAAAATAGCAATAACCTGCCCTGTTGTGGTCGTGATGAAGTGAACTCAACGTAACAGGAGTAAACAAAAATTGAAGCTCGGTTATGGCAGCGCCCATACACGGCTGCCCGAAAGCGTCAGTGTGAAAGAATTCAACGCATCTGCTTGTTCAGACGCAAAGGAAAGGTTTCGTCTGAGATTAGGCTTGTTGACAGGACTTTTCGATACAATATCAGTTAATAAATAAACGAAAAATCAGTATGGAGGAGCTCAGGCAAACATCATTTATCATCCGCGACTACAAAATAAATGGTCAACGTGCGGGCCGGGGGGGGGGGGGGGGGGGGGCAGTTGGTGCGTATTAATCATGATGCTTAAACGGTGAGACTCGGATGTAAACTTGAAGATAAATTAGAAGGGACAGAAGAAAGGTGACAGACAAGCGTTTGAAATTCAGCTAATCAAATTTATTTATTTCAACGCTTTCTCCCAAAATCTTCCAGAAACTAAAAATAAAACAAAAGAAAACTTCAATGACACAAGTTCCAAGTCAGTTCGTTCCAAACACACAATGGCAGAAACCAAACAGCAGGCGCACGTGGAGCGAAAGCTCGCATACAGAACCCAGCATCCTGGACTCAATCCCCACCCCTGCCTGTTTCGATCTGGATGAGCATCGTCTGGCGTGCAGTCGTGTATCACTACTGCGTGGTGCACGTTAAAGACCCCCAGGGTAGCGGTTATACCGTACTGGCTAAAATGACCATCTATACAGCGAGTGACCCGGAACAACTTTGAAATGGCTGACCAACTACATGCTGTATAAATATCCCCATAACCCAATTTGCTTTTTTGTTTCCCTTTCTTTTTCTTTTCTTCCTTTTTTTTCACTTCCATGTGTATAATAGCAAAAAAAAAAAAAAAAAAGGTGATGAAGATGAAATGTAATTCACCACAGAGATCCGAGTCAGCGCATTGTGAGTGCTCTTCCTTTGAGTGTTTGAACTTTATTTTTGTGTGCGTCTGTTTCCTTGCGCTGTGAAGTGTTGGTATGAATCACCAACTCGCCCAAGCTCTAGTATTGCTATTCAAACTTGGCGGGCTAGACAGCCCGGAAGCAAGACTCGACTGCTGCGCTGCTAGTTCTAGTGACCGCCACTGAGCCCACGTCGCAGGCCGAGCTCTGAAACTGAGCTTGCTACAGTAACGTTGCTCAGTGCTGCTTTGCCGTGTTCTTTTATGACCGCGCTAGAGAGCTGTTTTCTTTGTGGCCTTCATTCTCACCTAGGAGAAATGGGACTTTAGCCGTCCGTGGTTCCGACCACACTACCATGCCCAACACCGCCTGAGCCATCCTGAACTTCCCCGACCACTGCGATTAAAATGTGGGCAATTATACTTGCTCGAAATAACTGTAGTGAGCCGATTAAGTTTCGGTTTACGATAATTAAATTCTTGTCAATACAAACTCGTTTCTTGAGGAGACGAAGAGAAATGTGCTCCGGAAAAGTTCCTGCAGGCAGCCGGCCTCATGACCTGTAGGTCTAATTACCTATAGAAACTTGTCAAACTCAATCCCGGAGCAAAAAGGACAACACGGTGAGGAGGAGATGCCTCTCAGAAGAAATTAAAGCGGTGTAGGAGCGGTTAGGTTACAGCGACCTTTTCGAGCTGCCTTCGCAGGGCACAACCACTCCCCGTGCAAAGGCCGTAAGAGATCGCGCCTGTTCACTCAAGCCCGGCCATTGTTCTTCCAACTGCCGAACGAGGCAAGCGGATGTTCATGAGCACATTTGGCTTCAAACCTTACACGTCAGGAGAATAACGGGGAGGGAAAACTTGCGCTACAGAACCAATCATCGACTCAAACCACGCCGCCGTCCATTTCAATCTGGATGAACATCGTACCGGCGTGCTAAATTTCTCACCCAAGTCGGAGACACTATAGTCGGTGACAGGCCAAGAACGAAGTGGAAGCTCCTCCCACCTCTTTCCACTTTAGCAGTGCCAACGCTGGCCGTTCCCTCCGCTGTAGTGGAAAGGGGGTGAGAGGAGCTTCCACTTCGTTCTTGGCCTGTCACCGACTAGTTTATAGGCGCCTATTCGCGACTCCAGCGCAGCGTTGCCAGGTGGTGAAATTCAGCACCAGATTTGGAAAATCTGGTGAAATTGGAAGGCTACTCGTGTCGATGTACCGGAACGGTTACACCAGACCATGTCTGGTGAAAACTGGTGAGAAATCTCGAGAAACGGTTTGTCACTTTCATCAATCAAATTCCTTCCCTTCACCCATC